AAAAAAAAAAAAAAAAGACTAGAGGTGGAAGAGTTCTGAGTTCCTGCGATGGGTTTGAGAATTCAGTCCTGTCTCAATTTCAGGAAGACTGGAGAGTGGCCTTCTGTGTGGCCAAGGGTCCTTGGAGCTTGCCTTTTTTTTTTCTTTTACCTTGGTGGTTATATCAGAAAAATGGGAGACATCTGCCTCTCTCCCCTAAGTGTCAGTGGGCACAGAGGCAGAGAGGAAGCCGCTCCCTTGGGGGTAACGGGGATGGAGCTGGGTGAGGGGCAGGATTGCTCATGCACAGCAGGGCAGGGGGACTGGGGAGAGGCACCGTGGGTCTTAGGTCTCACCACAGGCAGTGTAGAGACGGCTGCACTTGGAAGAGGGCACCCAAACATTGGACGAACCAGTGTCAAAGACAACTTTGAAGATCTGGGGTGGGGTGCCAATGCCAATCTCACCATAGTACTGGGTCTGTGGGGGTAAAAAGAGAGAAGGCTGGAGGGGCTCAGGGGAGCTTGGGTCTTGGGGCCTTGCCTGGCCCCACTCTTGGCTCTTGGGAGGAGATTTGGCCCAGGTGAGGTCCTATAGCCTCTCTGGGTTTCCATTTTCCTGCAGGAACTGTTAGGAGGCTTAGCATCATCCCTTGGCATCCCAGAAAGTGAGAGTCTCAGTAAGACAGGAGGGTGAAATAAAAACATTGAGAATGAAGCAGGAAGCAACCTTGACCCTTGAGGATCTGCTAGGGCAGGAAGCCCCCTGTGCTGGGCCAGGTCGCAGAAATCCCCACCTGGGCCACACACCCCTTCCCACCCACCTGTGACACCTGGGCTGAGGCCTGGGCTGAGTTCCAAACCTAACCCTGCCCCTGACTGGCTCCTGAGTGCCTTCCTGTCTTCTGTGCTCACGCCTTCCAGCTGGAAAATGGGATTTTTTTTTTTTTTGAGATGGAGTTTTGCTCTTGTTGCCCAGGCTGGAGTGCAATGGTGTAGTCTTGGCTCACTGCAACCTCCGCCTCCCGGGTTCAGGCGGTTCTCCTGCTTCAGCCTCCTGAATAGCTGGGATTACAGGCATGCACCTCCACACCCAGCTAATTTTGTGTTTTTAGTAGAGACAGGATTTCTCCATGTTGGTCAGGCTGGTCTCGAACTCCCAACCTCAGGTGATCCTCCTGCCTCTACCTTCCAAAGTGCTGGGATTACAGGTGCAAGCCACCGCACCCGGCTGAAAGTGGGAATTTTCTAGGGTGCTCACGTGCTCCTCAGTGCCTTAGTCAAACACAGCATGGAGAGAGTGGGACCTGTAGCAAAGAAAGCCCTGGGCCATGAGGGAAAGGAGGGAGAGAGGGAGCAAAGGGCTGGGCCAGGCACTCACATCCATGTAATTGGTGAGGATCACAGAGGAGGTGACGTTGACAAGGGCCATCCTCTCAGGTCCAAGCCTCGCCATGTCCACACCTCGTTCCTTCAGGCTTTCTCGGATTGAGGGCATTCTCTTGAGGGAGATCCTGGCCCAGGGTGGAGGAGGCACAAATAAAAAAGTGTGTACTTGCACCATGATGATAGGGTCCTCCAGGCCACACCCCTGCTTTAGTAACAGACGCCTCTAACGCCTCTAATGCAGCCACCTGGAAATCACTTCTGTCCATGAGGGCCTCTGGAGCATTTATGAGAGTTACCGCTTGTCAAGAGTCAATTTAGAAGAGTCGGCTGCCCTGGGATTAAATAACCCTGAAATGACTTCCTTCTGTTGTCTGATTTTGATTGGACAAGGTCATTTGTTATGGTCCGTTCATTCATTCATTCATTCCATAATCATCTGCTGAACAACTACTTTGTGCCTCACTGTGCTAGAAACTGGAGCTAGAACGATAACAATCTGACTGACTTTAAGGAACTCGAGCTGTCGGGAGGACAGACGGGAAACAGGCACAGACATTCCCTCTAAGGAGATGAAGGCCAGGGAATGCCCCTGTCAAAACTGGGGGCTGGCGAGGAGACAGTGCCCTAGGAGGCCGCTAGGTGGCAGCAGATGCCCACAGCCGCTGAGAGGTTTCCAGGACACCAGGGGACAGGCATCCAGCCAGGGCTGTGGTGGAGTGGACCCCCGAGCTGGGCTGGGCCTAGAGAGATGCCAGCATCTCCAGAGCACCATGCACCTCGTCCTTGGAGAGATGTGTCCCATCTCTTGGCTTCTTGTCCAGATGTTTTCCCATCACCTTTGAGAGGCAGAATGAAAGAGACCTGGGAACCCGACTCCACTGAGCTGCTACGGAATGAATGCACACCAACATTGTACACACACCCATGCAGACTGCATAGCAACTCTGCACACTAGCTGTCATCGTTTGATAGATGAGAAAATGAAGGCTCACAGGGATGAAGGTGACTCAGAAATGCTGGAGCAGGGATTCAGAGCATGTCTCGGTCCTATTTCCCATATAGGACCCCCTGAGTCCTGACATAAAGGCTGTTTGCCAAAACCCAGAGGAAGATGTCTCTAGCTGTTTGCCAGAAGGTCCCAGGATGGAAGCCAGAAGGTCCCAGTTAGCTCTGCAATAGGCTTTCCCACACACACGGAGATTCCCTCTTGCATCTCAGCGGCTGGTCCTCCTGTACTTACGCTGCCCTTTCCTTCCTACATCCTTCCTGTATCCCATGCATTCTACTTACCCCATTTTGCCCACGAACATGAATGCAACTCTTATGCCTAGCAGCATGGCATTGTAACAGAAATGATTTGTCATCTTCCTATCATAGTTTACTGTTGCCCACATATTTTCACAATCATCATTTTATTTGATCTCATGAGGTGGATGATTTTATTACTCCCACTTTACAGGTGGGAAAATGGAGGGTCAGAGATCTGACCCTAAAGAGGTTGCATTTCCCGCTATTTACTCCAAACAAACAGCCTATGCTTTGGACTTCTTTTTGCCATTTCCTTTCCAGAAAATTGTTTCCTTCTCCCCTTCCTTTTCCCCCCAGTTCTTTAATTCTTCAAGGCCTAACATGTACCCCCACCTCCAGGACGCTTGCCCCAAGGCCTCCAGCCCACACTGGCCTCACCTTTCCTTGGGCTTCTGCTCTGTGTTTCCTTGGGTCTCTCTACAGCCTGTGGAACTGGTACCATGCAGTGGTGAAGACAGCGGTTGCGGGGGGCATGCATGAATCCCCTTCCCACCTGCGTGATTCTGAGAAAGCTACCTAACCTCCCTGGGCCTCTAAGCCTCCATTAACTCCTTTCTAAAAATGGGCCTAATGGTAGTCCCTACCTCAGAGTCACTGTGCAGATGAAACCATGTGCCCACTGCTCAATAACTGAATTGTGAGTGTGTGTATGCACTCGTCCACCTTGAGAATGGAGCCCATCCATTCAGCTGCCCCAAGGATCTCGCATGATGTTCTGCACAGAGCAGGCAGCAGAATTCCTATACTTCTGTTTCAAAAGCTGGATTCCTTCTCCACCCCTTGCCCAATTCCATTCTGTTTCTCTTTTGGATGGCAACAGGGGAAGATGTTTTTACTTTCCTCTACCTTATCCTGGGGGTGGTGCTGCTTTGAAGCACCCATCCTCTTACCCCATGCTCACAACTCAGCAATTATTCTCTGAGAGCCGCAGGGCAAGGGAAAGCAGTTTTGGAAGCAAAAGGCCCAGTGTGTGTTGAGGCTCAGCCTCTTACATATCACCTCCCTGAGCCTCAGCATCCTCACCTGCAAAGTGGGAATGCTGAATTGTTGGGAACATGACTTGAGATGAGACATGTAAAAATATCCTGTGAAACCCTAAGCATTTTGGAGGCTTAGCAAGTATTTCCATGATTAAAATGTGCCTTCCTACTTTCAGTGCTGCTGGTCACATCTGCTGTCCCCAGATTGAAAACGCCGTTCCCTGTGAGCCCTTCTCTCAAACACTGCCTCTTCCCCTTCTTCAGTCTTTTTTGTTTGTTTGTTTCTTTTTTTTTTTTTTTTTTGAGACGGAGTTTCGCTCTTGTTACCCAGGCTGGAGTGCAATGGCGCGATCTCGGCTCACCGCAACCTCCGCCTCCTGGGTTCAGGCAATTCTCCTGCCTCAGCCTCCTGAGTAGCTGGGATTACAGGCACGCACT